AGAAAGGAGGGAAAAGGGAGAGAAGATAAGGGGAGAGGAAATAAAGAGTAGAGAAAGGAGAAAACAGGAGGAGGAGAGATGGGAAAGGATAAGAGAATCAAGACACAATGAGGGATACGGAAGGGTGAAAGGGAGGGGAGTACCGGGATATCTGAAAATGGGGTGGGGAGAGAAAAGATGGAGGAGGATAGCGAGATTTAGGCTAGGATGTGAGCTAAGAGGAGGAAGGTATTGGGAGGAGGAGGAAAAGAGGAGATGCAGGATGTGTGGGAGAAGGGAAGAAACATGGACGCATATATGGGAGGAGTGCACAGGATGGGGGGAAGAAAGGGGATGGCAGGAGATGGAGAGGGAGGTACTAGGAGAGGAGGGAAAAGGGGAGAAGTGGATGAAGGAAGTGGAAAAATGGTGGAGAGGAGAGGAAAGAGGAGGAGGAGGGAAGAAAGGGGGAGGCGGAGAAGGAGAGAGATAGGAGCACCGGAAACGGAGGTCATGGAATGAGAGGAAAAGAGTGGAGAATGAGAGAGGGGGAGAGAATGGAGAAGAGTGAGGTGTGTGTGTGCGGAGCTCTCTCTCTCTCTCAAGCGATTAGAATGTAAGCGATTAGAATTAATTTAACAGATTAAAATGTAAGAGATAAGATAAAGGAAATGTAAAGGTTAAGAATTGTAACCCCAAGGGGAGGCAATAAAGAATACATACATACATACATAGTAAGTTAACGCGTTACTTGCATTACTGTTATTGTTAAAAATAATAATAACTGTGACAACCCAGTAAATAGTATATAGCAGTTATATAATTATTAGATATAGCAGTTAGTTATAATTTCCAACTATATAATATAATTGCAATATAACATGTGTGTTATATTATACAATAGTTATATTGTTAAGTGGGAAATTACAGTAAACAATTATATAACTGTTACTTGGTGTTTGCTAGGAAATTATTTTATCAGTGAATCAATAGTACCTGTAACAAACTACTTCATTAATATATATTCAACAAACAGCGATATAAAAAAACAAGAACATAAGAAATACATAACAAATAAGAAATGTAATATGTAATAAGAAATGTAATAACATAATACTAGTTTGTTGTCATTTTCATTTGGCGGAAATCTCCTATTTTTTATTTCCTATTTTGTATATCCTATTTTACAATATCACTATTTTTGAAGTGAAAAATATCAAATGTTACAAATTACTGTTTTTTATAGAACAAATTTTCTAAAAAATTTTTATTTTCATCATTTTTGTTAAAAATGAAATTATAAAACCAAATTACAATTACCAAATTAAAATTATTTTAATTTTAATAAGATTTTTCTACGTAACTTTTCTATTACAAATTGATGTACAACGTTTCCAAGTACAGTTTTTGTAAGGATGTTTTTATTACAGTTATTAATACGGTTTTTTCTACAAGTTTTGTACAAAGATTTTTTTACAAAAGTTATTTTTTTATTATAGTTATTAATACGTTTTTTTTACAATAGATTTTTGTACAAAGTGCTTTTATAAGTTTTTTGCACAGACACACACGCGCGTACCTTGGCTCTTTTTTACCTTTTGTAAGGTAAATTTGTACGGATTTCACTGATTTTGTTGTTATAGGTTGATAACCAAACCTAGGTTAGGTTAGATTTGGTTAGGTTTGGTTTGGTATCTCCGACCTGTTCTGTAACAGGATCCTAGAGCTGGGTGCCGGGCTAGGGGTGGCGACCGAGCCGCACTATGTGCCACATACCAGCGAGGGTTGGTTTGGCAGCGGTGACATCTCGGTCGCCATGGTGGCAAACCCCGCGGCGGGGACCCCTCCCTGTGTACTTAGGGCAAAGGGGTCCTCGTTTGTGGCGGTCGACTGAGGGCCCATCACGGTGGTGGGAGTGTATCTCCACCACCGTAAAAATAAGGAAAGTCTGGGAGACCTCGCCCGCATTGAGAGAGTCCTCGACAGGATTGGGGATTTGGTACGGAGATGCCATCCCCGACCCGTCGTGATTGCCGGGGACTTCAACGCCCCTTCGGAAGGGTGGGGGTGTAGTCCCCGGCAAAGGGACTCCAGGGGCGAGGCTCTCATAGACTGGGCAGTGGGTCTCGGCCTCTCGTTGATAAACGAGGGGTCCGCCAGCGGCTGAACGGGGAGTCAGTCATCGATTTGACCTGAGCGACCCCTTCAGCCGCCTGGTTATTCCGGGAGTGGAAGGTGGAGGGCGAAACACTGTCGGATCACCGATACATAGTGTGGGCCCTCCACCTCCCCAGACCTCCACAGGTGCGGGCCCCCTGCTGCCCCTGGGAGGGGGACTTTCCCTTCCCCAGGAGATGGACCCTCAGTCGATTCGATGCGGATAGGTTCAAGGCGACCGTTCTCGTGGCCACCTGGCACTTTGATAAAGAGCCAGCGGAGTGGGCCCTCAGCTCCCAGGAGGGGACTGAGGAACTAGTGGATATTGTGGCGTCGGCCTGCGACGCATCGATGCCCCAAGTCCACGCCGTCGCCGGATCGCGTACTGGTGGACGTAGGAGATCGTGGAACTCTGCGACTCCTCCGTCCAAGCCAGACGGCACCTGTACCGGGCCCGGGGAAGAGGCGAGGACGTCACGAGAGCGGTGGAGGCCTACCGGATTGCCCGGAAGGCCCTCCGTACCGCCATCGCCGAGGCAAAGCGAGAAGCCTGGAGCAAATGACGAGCTCCCTGGACGACGACCCGTGGGGGCGCCCGTACAAAAGGGTGATGGGCAAAGCCCGCCCATGGGCGCCCCCGCCGACGGAGTCGTTGGACAGCCGAACCCTTGAAGGGCTCCTCGACACCCTCTTTCCGAGGGTGGAGGGGGGCCCGCCCAAGATCCCCACCCCCGAACTGGGGGAGGGGGGCTGGAGCGAAGGCCTGGCTGTTGAACCAGAGGAGCTCGTCATGGCCAGGAGAAAGCTCGGGACCAAGGGGAAAGCCCCCGGCCCCGACGGGATCCCTGGCCTAGCCTGGGCTCTCGCACTCGGCGAAGAGAGCCTATCCGCCGCCTTTCGCGGGGTTTTAAGCGGGTGCCTTAAGGAGGGAGTATACCCCCCGCGTGGAGGAGGGCCAAGTTGGTCCTCCTCCCCAAGGAGAGCAAGACATCCGAGAGCGCGCCGGCCTACAGGCCGATTTGCCTGCTGGACGAGGCGGGCAAGGTGCTAGAACGCATTATTGCCGACCGCTTCGTCCAGCACATGTCCTCGGAGGGGCCGGATCTCCACGACCGTCAATATGGTTTCAGCTCCGGGAGGTCGACGCTGGATGCCATTCAGTACCTCCGGGATCTGACCGCGACGGTCGTGGAGAGAGAGGGCGGGGTGTTGTTGACGGTGTCTCTCGACATCAAGAACGCCTTCAACACCCTGCCCTGGCCGGAGGTGGGGCGGGCCCTCGAGTACCACGAGGTGCCCGCCTACCTCCGGCGCATATTGGAGGCCTACTTCGAGGGCAGAGACCTCGCCTTCAACAAAGAAGACGGGGTTCTAGGTCGGCGCGCAATGGAGCGCGGTGTTCCGCAGGGGTCGGTGCTCGGCCCTCTGCTATGGAACATCGCGTTCAACCGGGTGCTGCGAACTCCTCTCCCCCCGGGCTGCCACGTCGTCTGCTACGCGGACGACACCCTAGTGGCAGCAGGGAGAGGACCTGGGGGGAAGCTCTGCGCAGAGGCTGCTGTGGCATCGGTGGTGGGAACCATCGAGGGCCTGGGACTGAAGGTGGCGCCCCAAAAGACTGAAGCCGTGTTTTTTCATGACGGCAGTCGAGGGGCGCCACCCGAGACCCAGGTCCTAATAGATGGCGTCCGCATCCGCGTTGGGCTGACGATTAAATATCTCGGCCTGACGTTGGACGGCCGGTGGGACTTCGGCCCGTACTTTAGGGATTTGGCCCCCAGGGTGTGCAACGCGGGACTGGCAGTCGCTAGTCTCTAGCGCAACCTTGGGAGTCCAGGATGGAGGGCTCGCCGCCTATACGCGACGGCCGTTCTGTCGATCGCATTATACGGGGCGCCAATCTGGGCGCCCCAATTCAGCACTTGCCGCGAGGGCCAACAAAGGCTGAGGCAGGTGCTGAGGCCAATGTTTATCAGAATGTCGAGATCGTACAGAACGGTCTCATACATGGCGGCGAGCACCCTGGCCGGCTTCCTCCCGTGGAATTCATTGCGGAGGAATCCTCTATTGGAGGATAAAGGAGCTCCACAAGGAGGGGGACCTTAGGGCCAGGGATGTGCGGGCCTTAAAGTCTCAAGCCGTGGCCCGTACCCACGAGATGTGGGCGGGCAAATTGTCCGACCAACGGGGGTACGGGCGCCAGACGGCGGAGGCCGTCCGCCCCTGCCTGCCAGAACTGGCTGGCAGGAGGGGATGCGGATTGTCCTTTCATCTGGTGCAGATGCTGACGGGCCATGGATACTTTGGCAAGTACCTGCACCAGATAGAGAAGGAGCCCACCACCAGATGCCACCACTGCCCCGTGCTCATGGACACGGCGCTCCATACCCTGGTCGCTTGTCCGGCCTGGGAAGAGGAGCGCCGTGTCCTGGCCGGGGCCATGGGGTGGAGCAACGGGGACATCTCGCTCCCACGCATGGTGGCGTCCATTTGTGGGAGCGAGGAGGGATGGGAAGCGGCGGCCTCCTTCTGTAGGGGCGTAATGTCCAAGAAGGAGGCCGCCGAGAGGGAGCGCCGGCCACACACAACCCGTCGTCGTCGACGACGACGGGGTGGCCGGCAACCCAGAGGGGGGGCATTTAGGCAGTGGGTCCGAGGAGACACCGGCTGAGGAGGAGGGAGGAGCCCCGACTAGCAGGGGTCCAATCCCTCCTCCTCGGCCACCTCGGCCCCGACTCCGTCAGCAGGGGGGATCCGGCTCTTTTTCTACCTAGGAAGAAGATGGATCCCCCCTGGCCACGGACAGGATAGGTTAGGGGGAAGTGGTGCGAGAAATAAGATCGCTGTGGATACAATGCCCCATAATGGCAGCTAAAAAGATAGCTGAAATGGGGAGCATTAAAATAGGCTGGACGCAAGTGAAGGCAGAAATGCTGCAAACAAGACCATTGCAATGTTATAAATGCCTAGAGCAGGGACATGTGCAGCAAAACTGCAAAAACAACGCAGACAGAAGAGAAAATTGTTATAGATGCGGAGAAAAAGGGCACCTGGCAAGAGATTGTGTATCGAGAGCCAGGTGCCAAGTATGCGCTGATGCAGGAGTGCCAGCAGGTCATAGGATGGGAGGACCAGCCTGCCGGCCACCGAAGGGAAGAAGGAAAGCCGCGGGAGGGACAGTGGAGAGGCGAGAGGCGTCCGCACCGAAGCCCCAGGACCCTCCTGTCCCCCCCAGCGGCAAGGGAGAAACTGGAAAAAGGGAGGCGGAAAATGGAGAGGCAGAAAGGGCTCCATCACCGCTCCCACAGAGGAAGCGACTTCCACCACCACCACCCCCTCCACCCTCCACGCAGGCGGAGGAAGAACAAATGGAGGTGGAGGAGAAAAGAGGAGAAAAGCGTCCACGTCCGGTGGAAAACGCTGAGAGCGATGAGGGAGAGTAGCCTGGTGGGAAGGTCATTGTCAATCCGACCGACAAATAATGACCACCAGGCTGCTACAAGCAAACCTGCACCGCGCCCGCCAAGCTCAACCGCTGTTCGAGTACTCGATGGCGGAGCGCGGTGCAGGGTTAGGGATAGCGGCAGAGCCCTATTATGTCCCCAGAAACCACCCAAGGTGGTTCGGGGACGACAGGGGCTCTGTCGTTATCACATGGAAGGCGAGCGAAAGCTCCCCCCCGGCAAAATTTTTGAGTCCTGGCCGGGGATACGTCGTGGTCAGGTGGGGAGTGACTATCGTGGTCGGGGTATACCTCCCCCCTGAAAAGAGCCTGGACCTGATTGAGTACAGGTCCAGGCTCCAAGAGATAGGAGATGCTGTGAGACAGCATCTCCAGGGTCCTGTCATCGTTGCCGGGGATTTCAATGCAAAATCAGAAGTGTGGGGATCCCGGCGCGGTGACAGGAGGGGGGAGGAAACAGTGGACTGGGCCGCGGGCCTGGGTCTGCACATCCTCAATGAAGGAGACAAATCCACATTCGTGGGGCAGCAGGGGGAGTCTATCATTGACTTAACGTGGGCAACCCCTGCTGCCATGAGGAGGGTGCAGACCTGGAGGGTGGCGGACGAGATCGAGACATTGTCGGATCATCTGATAATAGAGATGGAGCTGTCCGTCACCCCCAAAGGCCTGCGGCCGGTCCAAAGGAAGGAACCCCGACCCGGAAGATGGTCACTGGCCAGGCTAAACAGGGAGATCCTGGAGATCTCCCTGGAGGGCTCCACCTGGCCACGACGAAGGGAGGGGCAGGACCTTGACTCTGAGGTCATGGAGGTCATGGATATACTCGCACAGGCGTGCGATGCCTCCATGCCCAGAGTCAGGTCCTGCCCGAAACGATCCGCCTGGTGGTGGACCGACGAGATAGCCGACTTGAGGCGCAGATCGGTCCACGCCAGGCGGACGTTCCGGAAAGAGCGAAACAAACGACCCCCGGACCTTGAGGCCACTCGGGCCGCCCGGATGGAATTCTGCAAAGCAGCGGTAAAACTGAGAGAAGCCATCGGGGCGGCCAGAGGAAGAGGGTGGGACGACCTCCTCCTCTCACTAGATGCTGACCCGTGGGGGCGTCCATACAGAATGGTAATGCAGAAAATGAGACCATGGACGCCCCCTAAGACGGTGACGCTTGACCCCCGGTTCTTGGAGAGGGTGATGGAAACCCTGTTTCCGGTTGGGGAGGGTAACCCCATCACCCCATACATTCCACCATCCCCCGAACAACAGGGGGAGGTACCGGGGGTCACAGAGGAGGAGGTGGCTGGGGGTGTCAAGAAGGTCAAGAACGGGAAAGCTCCCGGACCGGATGGCATCCCCGGCCGCGTCCTAACCCTAGCCTCAGGGTACTTAAGCGGGAGGTTCGCCTCGCTGTTTTCGCGAGCCTTCAGGGAGAGAAGGTTCCCCCCAGTCTGGGGGAGGGCCAATGTGGTCCTCCTCCAAAAAGAGGGCAAACCGGAGGACTCCCCCTCCGCGTACCGGCCCATATGTCTCCTGGACGAAGCGGGCAAACTGTTTGAGCGGATTATCGCTGCCCGCCTCCAGGAGCATATGTCCCGGGAAGGTCCCAACCTCGATGACGGTCAATATGGCTTCCGGGAGGGGAGATCTACCGTAGATGCAATTAAGCATCTGAGATCCCTCTCGGAGGCCATCGTGATGGAGGGCAGGGTGGCGGTGGCGATATCGTTGGATATCGCCAACGCGTTCAACACCCTGCACTGGGGTAGGGTGGTGCAGGCGATGCGGAGTTACTTCCGCTTCCCACCCTACCTCGTGGCCGTCATCGAGGATTATTTCCGGGGTCGGCGTCTCACGTGGACGGACGCCGACGGCAAGGTGCGCGAGAGGGGAATGAGTTGCGGGGTTCCACAGGGCTCAGTTCTGGGCCCACTACTGTGGAACCTCGGATATGATTCAGTCCTCCGGACAGCCCTCCCCCGCGGCTGCAGTATCGTCTGTTACGCAGACGATACTTTGATACTGGCCGGGGGGAACGACTGGAGGGATGCCGTGAACACGGCCAACATCGCGGTGGCAGGAGTTGTGCGTGCCATCCGCAACCTGGGCTTGGTGGTGGCTGAAAGAAAAACAGAAGCCATATTCTTTCATCAAAAGGGAAGGAAGCCACCCCAAGCCTGGGTGCGGGTTGGCGTAGTCAGGGTTCCGTTGGAGGCCCAGATGAACTATCTGGGCCTCAAATTGGACGGCACCTGGTGCTTCAGAGAACACGTAAACAGACTGGTCCCCCGACTAAGGGTGGTATCCGCCCGGTTGGGCAGGCTCATGCCCAACGTCGGGGGACCAGACGGGAAGGCTCCTCGCCTCCACGCAGGAATTTTAAATTCGGTGGCGCTATATGGTGCGCCAATCTGGGCGGAAGCCCTGGCCGCCAGTCGCCCGATGCAGGCGCAATTGCGCAGAGTGCAGAGGGTGCTGGCGGTCAGGGTAGCGCGGTGCTACCGCACCGTGTCCTGCGTGGCGGCGACGGTCCTGGCGAGCATGCCCCCCCTAGAGCTCATGGCCCTGTCGTACAAGAGAATGTACGACAGGAAGCGTGAGCTCATCCGTACAGGGGGGGACGGAGAACCGCTCGCCAGGGCAATACGTGAGATGAAGCACCAGACTCGGCGGGTCCTCCTCGAGAGATGGCAAAGGTTCCTGGCCAACGCCAGGTACGGGAGGAGGACCGTCGAGGCCGTCCGGCCCTTCCTGCAGGAATGGGTGGGAAGGGCAAGCGGAACCCTGACATTCAGGATGGCACAGGTGCTCACCGGGCATGGATGCTTCGGTGAGTACCTGTGCCGCATCGGGAAGGAACGCACAACTTCCTGCCACCATTGCGGACATGACCATGACTCCGCGCAACATACACTCCAGGACTGCCCCGCCTGGAGTGCCGAGCGCGGAGTCATGGTCCGGGCCTTGGGCCAGGACCTCTCGCTCCCGAGGATAGTCGGGGCGATCCTCGGGAGCGAGAAGAGATGGGACGCATTCTCCTCCTTCTGCGAATCAGTCATGACGCAGAAGGAGGAGGCGGAAGAGATGCGGAGAAGGGCAGAGGGCCGGGGGAGAAAAAGGAGGCGGCGCGAGAGGCACCGCCAGTGGAGAGCGGGGAGGAGCAGGAGCAGGGAGGGAGACGCTGATTCGTCGGAGGAGGACGAACTTAGGAGGATCGTGGGTCCACCACCTCCTCCTCCCCCCCTCCCCCTCCTGCTCCCCCACATGCACCAGCAAGGCGGGGACCCCGTAGGGGGCACGGTGCCCCCCGCGGAGGCCAGAGAGGAGTCGGAGACGGAAGGGTGGCGGTGGTGGTACTTCACCGACTCACCCCTCTGATGGTGGCGGCAGCGATGCTGACCGCCCCCCCTGCAGTAGGGGTGGCTGTGGCGCCACCACCGCCGCCCCCTGCTGCCCCTCCAAGGGCAGCAACGGGAGAAGGTAGTGGGTGGAGGGCAAGGCTGAGGCCAAGGCCCTACACCCACAGACCACCGACTGGCCCGAAAAAGGGCGTCGGATAATAATAAGGGGGGGAGAGGGTATCGATGGAGACAAGCCGTCGAAAATGCCCCTCCCCCCCTAACCGCAAATCCGAAACGTAGTTCGGATATGCGGGAGGGGGGTCACTAGGACCCCCCGCCCCATTCCTCCGCGGAGGTGGGGAGAGCCCGGCGGCTAGGGGAGTATATCTCCCCGCAACCGCCGGGCGGGAGGGTGGGGCACCGGGCGGGGACTCCCGGTGCCCCAACCAGCCCTCCCAAGGTAGGGTGGCTGGCTGATACGGTGGGTCAGTCAGCCACACAACGTGTATTGGCGGCGCCTCGTCTGGTCGGGAACGGTGGTGAAGCGGGCCTCGGCCGGCTTCCCCCTTCCCGACCGAAGAGACGAGGCGTGAGGGGTGGGAAAGGGGAACGGTGATCGAAGCGGGCCTTCGGGCCGGCTTCCCCCTTCCCCTGGGGGAGCGGTGGTCGAAGCGGACCCTCGGGTCGGCTTCCCCCCTCCCCCGCCCCGCCCCTCAGGGACAGAAGGTGCAAACCTGGACTCGGGGCCCCGATTAGCAGTTACGCGGCACCGGGGCCCCGACCCAAGTCCCTTCGCAGCGCCACCCGGGGAGGTTTTAGCCGGTAGGAGTCCGGCATAACCCTGGCCCTTCCCCGAGGGTCAGGGTATCCATGATGGATTTCCTCCTCGTCAAAAAAAAAAAAAAAAGGGGGAAGTAGTGCCCGTTTTGGGGCGGGCCCACTTCCCCAAAAACCCCACCACCCCGAATCTAGGGGAGGGCGGATGCCCCCTCACCCCATAGGCGACACCAGAAGGCCAACCGGTCGGTCCTAGACCAACCGGGACCGCACCCTGGATTCCCTTTGCGGAACAGGGTGCGGTAAAGAATGGCGGAGGGCTCGGAACGAGCCCTGGGGTCGGGGGGTTGGGGAGGGAATACGGGAGTAGTTCCCCTGACTCCCCTCCACTCGGTCCGACAGGTAGGCATCCCACAAGGGTTTTAGTCAGTAAGAGTCGACATAACCCCCAACCCCCCCAAAGGGGTCGGGGGTATCCATGATGGATTTCCCCTGCGTTACAAAAGAAAAGAGAAATGGTTTGGTATCTCCCCTTCCCCGTGGACGCCACCTTGTCGTGGTGGGGGAGCTTGCGTGTCCCTATGATGTACAGAGCTGTGCCAGCGGGGCTTCGGCCCCTGGCAGGTTCAACCATGCCGGTCTGTACGGAAGAGCCAGACTAAGAGCGTCCATAATACTCCTGGATGGGTAGCTGCCTCCAGGTTTTATCCAGGGTCTGGAGGGTCTCATTCGTGGGGCCCAAAGGACCTTACAGCGCGGGCAGAACGGGCTCGTGAGCCGGGTGAAGGCAATCGTTGTAGAGGAAGAAAAACCCTGAATGCAAACCCGTACTTGTCAGGACGTATAACCTGACACAATTGCGTGGCGCCAGGGTGCTTCGGCACTCTGGTACAGGAGACTCAGGCAACCCATGCAGACCTTAGCCTATCACACCGTAACCCTAGGTCATGTCTCTGGGGCCGGGGGCCTTGCCTTAATTGGCCGGACCGCGAGGCGGGTCCTCTATAAAACACCACGTAATCCTACGGTTGAGGCATGCCACGCTTATGGGATGAATGGCAGGTGCGTGACCTGTTGCAAGTGGTTCCTCATCTGGGGCACCTGGCGAACCCCAGGAAACGCTAGCCTTACCCCGGGTAATGCGGGGGCTCTACCCGGAGTCGACGCCCACTTCCCGCCGAACACGTGGGACCAAAATAAAGGATTCCAAAATTATAAAAACCAACTACTCCGAGTCTTCGGGCTCAGAGCCCTCGGGCTCACGGTCGCTAAAGGACGACGTAGCAGCGCGTCCATGGACCAACCACCCACTCCGGAGGGAGATTTTTTGAAAGTAGGGACGGGGGTTATAGAGGTGGTAGGAATCCCCCAGGCGGGTGCCTCCTCCCCTCCCCCCAAGGAGGTAGAGCCGACGGACTCCAGGGGGTTAGCCTCTGGAGGGTCGTCCAAAATCGAAGACCCACCACCGTCCTCAAAGCAGCGCCTCTCTGACCGCGGAGAGTGCGCGGTGAGCCCGCCGGGTAGGGTAACGCGGGCGGTCACCCAACGCGTGACAAGTATGTCCCTGGGGTCCGAAGGTAAAACCCTGGTATCAGGGGCCAACAGGCCAGGTCCTCTCTGTTCCAAGCAGGGGTAGAAGGTACCTCCCCTATAAATAACAAGGAGATACAGAGGGTGTGTCCGGAAGGGACAAAAGAGGGGACCGATGGGACAGCGGGGGCCTCGGGGCGGACCACCGTTCCGGTGGTCCGCTCCGACGTTTTGCTTTCGCAAGGTTGCAGGATACGTATCCAGGGCCCTGCGGGGACCACGTCGGGACCAGTAACTGGACCGAGCAGAGCCAAGGACATCGGCGGGGGGAGAAAGAGGACGAGAGAGGCCACCAACACCAGCGGCAGCTCCTTTGGTGTGGAGATTCCTGCCCTTGAACTCACGAGGAGGGGGCCTGGCAGGCTGCCCACCACGGGTGAGAGGGTAGGAGCGAAGAAGAAGAAGAAGATGGAGATGGAGAGGAAGAAGGAGGAGGACAACAGGAGGTTGGAGCAAGATATCAGAATCCTCCTCGACACGGGCATACTTCGTTCTTTAGAGGACAAGCGCCAGGTCGAGGATCTATTTAGAAATAACGCCACAATCAACCTCCTCAGGGAGGCCAGGGTGGCAGAACTGGCCTCGGAGGTGGGCCGAACTCTGGGCGCGGTTCGGTTGGTCACACAGAGGTCCCGCACTTTAAAGGGGACCTTCGTGGTGTTACTGAATCGCGCCGTGGCCACCTCCGAGACCGTTATGGCCACCCTGCTCGCAAGGACTGCTGAGTTGGATAGCAGAGGGGAGGAGGCGACAGAAACAAAGAGGGAGGCGGAGGAGCTTCGCAAGGAACTGCCGAAGCTGAGGGTGGAAAATAGGAAGCTGGGCGAGGAATTAGAGGCCTTGAAGGCCTCAGCTCTCTCTGCCCTTACCCCCCATCCACCTTTACTCCCGAAAGGAAGGAAACTGTCGTATGCGAAGGCAGCGGGAGGATCTACGTCCAAGTCCACAGAGGAGGAGGAGGAGGAGAGATCCAGGAGGGAAGCAATGAAGAGGAGGAAGAAGAAGAGGAGAAGGGAAACTTATCCTTCCTCTCCTCCTCCTTCTATTGTGAAGGGGAAAGAAGCAGAGGGTGGGGGGTTGCTCGTGGACATACCGTCGTACGACGACAATGCTCCGGAGCACCCCCTTCCCCCAACGTGGAAAACGGAGAAGGCGGAGGAGTTGGACGCCGCCATGACCGCCACGGCCCATACTTGCAGCCATAGGGAGGAGCTCGACAAGATGCGGGCCGAGCTAGACTTCTTTAAGGCTGCGAGCGGGGTGGGCCGGACGGCCGTGGCGGTGGGGACCCCAGCGACTAACAAAAATCCGGCGGCAGCAGGACAAGAAAGGAAGAAGGAAGGACGGGAGGCCCCGGAGGGGAAAACCCAGGCTCTCAAAACACCGGTGGAGCCCAAAGGACAAAGGAAAAGGAAAAGGGCAAGGGAAGGAAAGAGAGGAGAAAGGAGCAGAAAAGGAGAAGAAAGGAAAGGGCCAAGCGGATGAAGGAGGAGGAGAGAAAGGCCCAGCAGGGAGGAAAAGGGACGCCGGCAAAGGTCCTGCTAGAGGCAGTCCGGGGCCCAATTCGAAGGGACCAGAAAGAAGGAGAGAAGAAGAAAGAAAAGGAGTTGTGGTCCTAAGTGGTAGGACGAAAGGAGAGACAGAGGAGAGTGGAGGAGGAGAAGAAGAAGGGGAACTCCTCTACCACCCCAAAACAGAAGGGTTCCTGGAGGGAGACACGACGGCCGGGCAGGGTAAGCCGAAGCCGCGCTCTGCGGCCGTCACCATAACGTGCCCCGACGGAGAGTATTACGAGTTTATGGTCGAGGCCAGGCGCCGAATCAGACCGGCGGACCTGAGGAAAAATTCTTCCCCAAGGGTCTGCCGGGGCCTGAACAGAGCGATGCTGATAGAGATGCCTGGCCTCAACGTCGGGGCATCCGCCGACCGGCTTGCGGAGGAGCTCCGCAAGCTCGCGGCGGAAAAGGGCCCTGGTTATCGCATCCAGCGGCCGGTAAAGTTCGCAGTACTGCGAATTGCTGGGCTGGATGCGACGACCGGGGCCGAAGAGGTGGCGGCCGCGGTGGCCCTTGCTGGGGGATGCTCGCCTGAGGAAGTTTACTCGGGCGTGATGAGCGTCTCCCAGCGGGGAGTCGGTGCTGCCCGCTCGCGCAACGTTGTACTTCCGCTGCTTAGAGCGGTGCATCAGCGCCGTCGACCGCAGCGGAATGTGCTACCTCCGTGCCCTCCGGTCATAAGATCGGAGGACCCGCCTGCAAACCCCTTTCCGGAAGGAGAAAGGGGGGAAAGAGGAAAGAAGGAGAGAGGCAGAAAGGGAAGGAGAATACCGGTTGGGAGGATGCCCGAACCATCACCGCCGGAGGAGGACCGGACCCGACAAAGCCTGGGGAGAAGAGTGGACCAGTCTCCTCCCTGTCGAGTGACAAAGGAGAGGTGGAGCTGGAACGGATCCGGCCCCTTCCATAATAAAAATCCCAGAGGGTAAAGGGGAGGAGAGGGACTCCTCCCCCGACCTAATAGACTGGAACTAGGAACCGGAGAGGACTACGACCCAAGACCCGGAAGAACCTCTACCCCGCAGGAAGAGGAGAGGGGAAGAAGAGGACAAGGCGAACAGGGACGAGGACGACCCGGAGGAGGAAGCACAGGCGACAAAGGTAAGGAGGGTGGAGCCCTCGGACACACCCCCGACAGACGTAGAGGAAGGGGAGGTGGGAGCGCTGCCCCCGACTCCCCTGCAGGTTGACTCGCCCTCGTACCCCCGAGAGGAGGATGTCACGCAGGTAGGGACCTCCCGAGTCTCCGCATAGACACCCACGCTGGAGGTCACCATGGCCGAAACCCCCTTCGGGGAGACTGAGACGGCTTTGCCGTCAGAAGTCTCCCAGGAAGAGGGGGTGGATGTAGGCAGCCTGGAGGAGGCGTGTAAGGCTTAGTCTTCACGACACTCCGGGTTCTACAGGGCAACATCGGCCACGGCGCCCGAGCTCAGGACTTCTGCATGCAGAGGATGTCTCAGCTGGGCGCCGGGCTGGGGGTGGTCGCCGAGCCGTACTGGGTACCGGTTCGCAGTGTTAACTGGTTCGGCAGCCCGGACGGCTCGGTGGCCATGGTGGCGAACCCTGCAGCGGGGATACCTCCTTGTGCATTCAGGGAGAACGGGTCCTCGTATATGGCGGTCGATTGGAGGCCCATCACTGTGGTGGGGGTGTATCTCCCTCACCACAGGAACAAGGCCGGTCTCGGTGAGCTCGCCCCGGTGAAAAGGGTCCTGGACAGAATCGGGGTGCTGGGGCGCATCCCCGGCCTGTCGTGATAGCCGGGGACTTCAACGCCCACTCGGAAGAGTGGGGTTGCAGTCCGCGGCACAGGGACCCTCGGGGCGAGGCCGTGATCGGTTGGGCAGCGGGACTGGGCCTGCTGTTAATGAACAGAGACTCAACCAGCACCTGTGTGCGGCCGGGGGGGCAGTCGGTCATCGACTTGACCTGGGCTACCCCCTCGGCCGCCGGGTTGTTCCAAGAATGGAGGGTGGAAGCGGAGGGCGAATCGCTGTCTGACCACAGATATATAGTGTGGACCCTCCGCCTCCCCAAACCTGCACAGGTGTTGGCCCGCAGCCCAGGGGAAGGGAACTTTCCCCTCCCCAATGGCCTTTCAATCGAGATACGGACAAGTTTCGGGCGGCCGTCCTTGCGGCCACCTGGCACCTAGATGTGGGGCCAGGTGAGTGGTACCCCAGCCCCGCGGAGGGTGCTGGGGAAATTGTAGGTTTCGTGGCGTCGGCTTGCGACGTCGAGATGCCCCAATCCCACCCCCGCCGGCGCCGGGCCACGTACTGGTGGACGGAGGAGTTGGAGGACCTCCGAGACTCCTCCGTTCAAGCCAGAAGACGTTATTACCGGGCCCGGCGACGAGGCGGGGATGTCGCAGGGGCAAAAGAGGGCTACCTACGAGCTAGGGAAGTCTTCAAGGCCGCCATCGTCGAGGCCAAGCGAGCGGCCTGTGAGTAACTGGTGAGCTCCCTGGACGACGATCCATGGAGGCGCCCATACAAGAGGGTGATGGGGAAGATCCGCCCATGAACGCGCCCTCCGATGGAATCGTTGGATCACCAGACCCTCGAGGGGCTCCTGGATGCCCTCTTTCCGCGGGCAGAAGGGGGCCTCCCCGAGATCCCGACCCCTCCGATGGGGGAGTGAGATTAGGAAGAGGGTCTGGCGGTCCAGAGGAGCTCACCGCGGCCAGGAGAAGACTCGGGGCCAAGGGGAAAGACCCTGGCCCCGACGGAATTCCTGACCGGTCCAGGGCCCTCGCCCTCGGCGAGGGAAACCTGTCCGCGGCTACGTGCAGGGTTTTGAGCGGGTGGCTCAGGGAGGGGGTATTCCCCCCATAGTGGAGGAGGGCCAAGTTGGTCCTCCCCAAGGAGGGCAAAGCACCCGGGAGTGCGTCGGCCTACAGGCCGATATGCTTGCTGGACGAGGCGGGCAAGATGCTGGAGCGCATCATTGACGACCGCCTCGTCCAACATCTGTCCTCGAAGGGGCCGAACCTCCACGACCGCCAGCACGGGTTCAGGCCCGGAAAGTCCACGCTGGATGCGATCCAGTGCTTCCGGGACCTGGCCCGGGCGGTCGTGGAGGAGGAGGGCGGGGTGTTGCTGGCTGTGTCGTTAGACATAACGAACGCTTTCAACACCCTGCCCTGGTCGGAGATTGGACCGGCTCTCGAACACCACGGGGTACCCGTCTATCTCCTGCGGATCCTGTCGACTTACTTCGGGGGCAGGGACCTCGCCTTCCCGGTGGAGGGCGGGGTCCAAGGCCGGCGCGAAATGGAACGCGGTGTTCCGCAAAGGTCGGTTCTCGGCCCCATGCTATGGAACATCGCGTTCGACTGGGTGCTGCGCACTCCGCTCCCCCCGGGCTGCCACGTCGTCTGCTATGCGGACGACACGTTAGTGGTAGCCGGGGGGAAAGCTGGGGAGAAGCCCACCTCCGCGCGGAGACAGCATTGGCATCGGTGGTGGGAACCATCAGAGACCTGGGTCTCAAGGTGGCACCCCAAAAGACTCAAGCTGTGTTCCTTCAGGGCAAGGGTCGTGGGGCGCCGCCGGAGACCCGGGTCCTCGTTGATGGCCGGGTCCACGTCCGCGTCGGGCCGACGATGAAATATCTCGGCCTGACGTTGGACAGCCGATGGAGCTTCGGACCCCACTTCAGGGAATTGGCCCCCAGGGTGCGCAAAGCCGGACTGGCTGTAGCCAGTTTGACGCGCATCCAAAGGGGTCCAGGCTGGAAGGCTCGCCGCCTGTACGTCACGGCGGTGCTCTCGATCGCCCTGTACGGGGCGCCCATATGGGCGCCACAACTGGGGGTCTGCCGCGGCGAAAAGCGCGCACTGCGGCAGGCGCTGAGGCCCGTACTAATTAGGGCGATTCGGGGGTACCGTACCATATCGTACATGGCGGCGACCACCTTGGCCGGCGTTCTCCCTGTGGAGCTCCTCGCCGAGGAGAGGCACACCCTCTATTGCAGGGTGAAGGAGCTCCGCAGGGTGGGAAACATGTCGGTCAGGATCCTGAGGGGTTTGAGGCTCCAGGCCTAGGCTCGCACCCAGGAGAAGTGGAGGGACTTATTGTCCAATACCCTGTGGCCCGGGCCAGCGACGGCCGAGGCTGTCCGTCCCTGCCTGTCCGAGTTGACAGGCAGGAGGGGACGTGGACTGTCTTTCCGTCTGGCGCAGGTGCTGACCGGGCATGGGTGCTTCGGTCGGTACCTGCGCTGGATTAGTAAGGAGCCCACCACTCGATGCCATCACTGCCCCGTGATGGAAGACACAGCGTACCACATCCTGGCTGCGGGTCCAGCATGGGCCGGGGAGCGCCGTGTCCTCGCCGGGGCGGTGGGATGCCGGGAGGGGGAACTCTCGCTCCCGCGCATGGTCAAGGCCATGTGCGGGAGCGAGGAGGCATGGACAGCGGCGGTCTCCTTCTGCGAGGCAGTAATGTCCCAGAAGGAGACCGCTGAGTGGGGGCGACGACCGTACCGGGACCGTGGGGAGCGGCGCCGGGGCGGTCGGAGCCCCTCGTGAGTCGAGGGACACGATAGCGGGCCCGGAGCAGCGCCAGTCGAGGAGAGCTCACCGACTCGCGAGGGCCGTGAGGTCCCTCGGCCGTCCCGAGCCCGCCTCCGGTCGCAAGGGGGTAGTAGGGGGTGGTGTTCCACCTTCCCTACCTTTCCCCCCCGAGCGACCGGACAAGTAGGGATAGGGGGGAGTGGTGTCCCAGTTGGGGCTGGGCCCACTCCCTCACAAATCCTTTCCTCCCTGACTAGCAGGGTGGGGGGTAAGGAGGGAGGGTGGATGTCACCTCTCTCCTTCACCGGTGACACGAGAAGGCCAACCGGCGGGGCAACCCGTCAGGGACCGCGCCCTGGATTTCCTCCGTAGAACAGGGCACGGTACATAAGTGGCGAGGGGCTCCCAAAAGGGAGCCCTGGGGCCGGTGGGTTGGGGAGGGAATGCAGGAGCATTTCCCCTAACTCCCCACCTCACGGTCCGACAGGTAGACATCCCGCAGGGGTTTTAGTCGGTAAGAGTCCGACATAACCCCCGCCCCCCAGGGGGGTGGGGGTATCCATGATGGATTTCCCTGCGTGACCAAAAAAAAGATTTGGTATCTCCCCCCAGGCTGCCACGTCGTCTGCTATGCGGACAACACATTAGTGGCGGCCGGAGGAGAGAGCTGGGGGGAAGCCCGCCTCAAAGCGGAGATTGCGGTGGCATCGGTGGTGGGTACCATCGTGGACCTGGGTGACTCAGGGTGGCGCCTCAGTAGACGGAAGCCGTGTTCTTTCACGATGGAAGTCGAGGGGCGCCGCCGGAGACACGGGTCCTAGTCGATGGCGTCCACATCCGCGTCGGGCCGATGATAAAATATCTCGGCCTGACGTTGGACAGCCGTTGGGGCTTCGGGCCTCATTTCAGGCTTCTGACCCCCAGGGTGCGCGGGGCAGGGCTGGCAGTAGCCAGTCTCCTGCGCAACCATGGGGGTCCGGGATGGAGGGCTCGCCGCCTATACGTCAGCGCGGTCCTCTCGATCGCCCTGTACGGGGCGCCAATATGGGCGACTCAGCTGCGGGCGTCCAGAGACGGGATCGCCCGCATGCGAGCCGCTCTGAGGCCCCTGTACATAAGAGCGGTCAGAGGATTCCGGACGCTGTCGTACATGGCGGCGACCACCCTGGCCAGGTCTCCCCCCGTGGAGCTCATAGCTGAAGAGCGATCCATCCTTTATTGGAAGGTGAAAGGGCTCCGCGAGGCGGCGGAACTATCGGCCAAGGACCTGCAGGGCCTGAAGTCCTAGGCCAGTGCTCGGAAACTGGAGATGTGGGGCGACGTTCTGTCGGACGCACGGGGGTTCGGGCGCATAACGGCCGAGGCTGTCCGCCCTTGCCTGCCAGAGATAGCGGGCAGGAGGAGATGTGGAATGACCTTCCATCTGGTGCAGGTGCTGACGGGCCATGGGTGTTTTGGCAAGTACCTGCACCGGATCGGTAAGGAGCTCACCACCCGTTGCCACCATTGCCCCGTCTATATCCTAATCTCTATGTCCTAATGGACATGGTGTACCACACTCTGGCCGCTTGTCCGGCCTGGGGAGTGGAGCGCCGTGTCCTGGCAGGGGCGGTGGGGTGTCGGGAGGAGGAGATATCGCTCCCGCCTAGTCCAGGCCATGTGCAGGAGCGACGGGGTATGGGAAGCGGCGGTCTCCTTTTGCAAGGACGTTCTGTCCCAAAAGGAGGCCGCCGAACGGAAGCGTCGACCGGTAGCCCGTCGCAGGAGACGACGTGGTGGTCGGCGCTCCCCGGGGGGGAAGTGCTAGAAAGCGGACCCGATATTACACCGGCTGAAGAGGACGAAGGATCTCTGGATGATGGAGGGCCAGATCCTCCTCGGCCGCCTCGAGCCAGCCTCCGTCCGCGGGGGGGGGGGGATCCCGACCGGAGCGGGTCCTCTGAGGGACTCGCCTGAGGTGAATTCCCTGGTTTACCCCTGCGCGTCGGACGGGTAGGGACAGGGGGGAGTGGAGCACCCAGTTGGGGCTGGGCCCACTCCCCCAAAATCCTTCCCTCCCTAGCTGGGAGGGGAGATAAGGAGGGAGGGTGGATATCCCCTCTCTCCTAGGTAGACACCAGACGGCCAACCGGCGGGATAACCCGCCGGGGCCGTGCCCTGGATTCCCTTTGCGGAACAGGGCGCGGTACGCGGAGGCGTGGGGCTCCCGGAGAGCCCTGGGGCCGGGGGGTTCGGGAGGGAATACGGGAGTAGTTCCCCTAACTCCCCTCTCACCGGTCCGACAGGTAGACATCCCGCAGGTGTTTTAGTCGGTAAGAGTCCGACATAACCCCTCGACCCCCCAAGGGGGGGGGGTATCCATGATGGATTTCCCCTGCGTGACCAAGAAAAAATGGTCGGAGCTATAATGGACATCATAAGTGTAACTACAATTCTCTGAACATTTAATATTTAGTTATTATAAAAAGTATAGAAGTGGCTCCACCTCCAACCCCATCATATATTTTATTAATGACATATGACGGTCCTCTTTACTAATTTTATCACGCAACAATGCATAATTTAATATATCCCGGTTATATGTGTAATTTTATTTGTGAATCTTATAAAAGAATTATGCATTATTTCATATGTATTATTTATTATCAATTTTAACTATCCTTACTTACACAATCCTAGGTAATATACAATAACTATTCAACGCAACAACTAATTTAATTTTGTAAGAAATTGTCTACAACTTGATACTTTTGAGGCTTCTGCGATGTAAAAAATTATTATTGTAACACGATGTCGAGCACGAGAGCTTCACGTCGATGATCTCAACTCATCTGTCCGCACTTCGTAAAGTCCTGCAGAGTGGATTTCAAACGCCAATGTGTCATTTCGCCTACATTTATCCTCACAGCAGCAACCTGAACATATAAAATATGCAATATGAAATAACATATTCTTGTTTTAGGCAAGAATATATATAAAAGATATCTTTTAAACAGTGCTTTACCTAGATATGGCTTATCGATTCTGTTTCTGCTTAATAACAAATATGTTCCAACGCTGCAATATGAAAATGTGAAATATACAGTATGAAATAATGTATTCTCGTTATGGACAAATAAACATAATAAATAAATAATAATAAATAAATAATAAATAAATATATATGAATACATATAATAATAAAAGATATTTTTTATAGAATATTTTGTGTTGCGTGATAGTGAAATATAGGTTTGGGATCATTTAAAACCCAATACACATCGCTCTCATTTAAATGGCTGTATCGCGCAGGACTTGCTCGCAATCTACCTACAATCTGCTGTCAGTGAATCGATTGTACTTCTGTTCAATAGTAATGTCCCAATACAATTATCTGTAAATGTCAAATCAAACACAGCTACCTGTAAATATCAAATATGCAATATGAACCCAGATAGCCAAACCTGCATACGCAGATTCTACGCAGAACCTGCTAAATTTTTGGTACCAAATAGGCATCAAATCTAACACATGACCTGTTCTATCAGAGGCTGTTGCCAACTTGTTGCCAAAAATATGACAAAACCTGCGTGACAGGTCGTGCGAACAGATTGTCGGCAGAAACCGCGCAGATCCTGCGCACATAACCTGACAGCAGATTGTAGGTAGATTGCGAGCAAGTCCTGCGCGATACAGCCATTTAAATGAGAGCGATGTGTATTGGGTTTTAAATGATCCCAAACCTATATTTCGTAACAATGATTTCTGTATCGGAAAAAAATGTGTAAACAAGAAATATGACAAAAATAAAATATATAATTTATTATATACGTGTAATTCATGAAATCTATAACATCACATTAAGATATTTAAAATAATCGTAAGTTTATTTGAATCGGACAATCTTATTTGTTTACGACTGATTGGGTGCGTTCACGATACTCAACTGTTGTGCAACTGTTGAGTGATTTCATCCTGAACGCTACTGAGCGATGCGTTCACTCGCAACATGTTGAGTGAGCGATTGCCATTTTTCTCATCATAAATATTCGTCGTTACCTTTATTCAGTCTCCAATCCAACATGGTGCAGCCTATGAATAAAGAAAATTACAAAGAAAATAGTCAAATAAATCCATAAATATACAGGGTGTCCCATTTTAATCCGGCCGGCTGAATAAAATTCGAAGATATTTTCCAGAAAAAAATGTCAGATAAATGTTGCTCAGTTCTAAGGGGGGCATTCGATGCCATCAACAATTTTGGTCTCGGGTGAAGGGTTCAAGGTCATTCAAGGTCAACTTTTTTTCTTAAATGGGAACCCCTATTTTTCACATCGGCAATCGATTCTACGTAAAAAAAAATGAAACTTTTGTCTGAAGCATTTTTTTATAACGCAAACTAATTTCACTTATTCAGCCTCCAAAATTGAAATTTTCAAACTTTCTGAATTTTTTACTCGAGAATGGTGGGGTTTGGGGGGAAATTGCAGAAGACAAAAAGTTCTTGGAATGATGCAAGGAATTCACTCGAATTTTCGCATAGTTGATCGTGCACTTTTTTCCATCAATGTTTGGAAAAAATCTTTTATCTCATCATGTCCAGTACCCTCGGCATTAGCATCACCCGATGTGCACCACGTGGAGGTCGCCGATAGGATTTTGCACATCATTGGCCCTCAAAAGGGCCGATTGATTGATTATTGAACTCGATCTATGACATCAAGTGCTCAATCTGGTGCCCATTCTGTGCAATGCACATTTGCATCATCTGGCGAAAACCAGATGCGTCGTGACCCTTTTTACTTCGATAGTTCTCTTCTCAGATGAGGCAAAATTTGATAACATGGGAGGCGTTAATCTGCATAACGCTCATTATTACGTCCAAGAAAATCCGAATTGGCGAAGAGATTATCGCACACAAAGGCGTTGGAGTGTGAATGTCTGGGCGGGTATAGTTGGAGACCATCTGGTTGGATCAATCTTTTACGAGCAAAATTTGAATGGACAACTGTATTTGGAAATTTTATTCAGCCGGCCAGATTAAAATGGGACACCCTGTATATAGCGGGGAATGTCAAGGATGGTGTAGAATACATTGTAACAGACACATATAAATTATATTTATAAAAATATTTATAAAAATACTTAATAATTACAAGACACATACACGTGTAGACGGGCCGTAATATTTAGTACGTTTATCTGACATTTTTTCCGCGCAACAAAATCGCGCAGAACTCTGATCAGTTGCGTTCAGTGTATATTTCTACTGCTCACTTATCGGATGCTCAACTATTGTGCAACTGTTAAGCTTCGTGAACGCACCCATTGTTTACACCGGATAAATCGCATATGTTACACATATGGTACACATTGAGGGGAAGTGACCACTTGTAGCACCGACGAAGCATATTGTCGATGACGTCATTATATGCTCAATCCGCCGAAAGCTGAGATGGTAACAAATATCAATATGGTTCAAAGTAAGTATCCGAGCACTTGATTGCCGAGCCGAAAATCTAATAACAAAAACATTGGATTCTGTACAATGGCAAAGATATAGAGCAGATTCAATTAGCAAATTGCAATAAATTATAATCTACTTACCACTGCGATAGCATTGGAAGCGATCATGGCTGTCGGCGTAAAAACCGCCAAGTAAGTTACATTAGCCATAACATAAGGCCTGTTCGTTTTGTCTGCACTGCTGAACTGATGCAACAAGTTAGAATGAGAAAACCTATGTTTGTCTCACTTTAACTTATTGCACCAGTTCAGCAGAGCAGACAAAACGAACAGGCTCTTGATGAAGGTCACCAACGGCAGTGATATGTAAATTGTTAAAACAGTGAAAATGGTAATAATAATATTATTCGGATATCGACAACATTAATGCAACATTCAAACTGCTAATAATTATACGTACCTCTCTTTTACAGCTCTTTCTCTTTCTTCGACACCTTGAGAGAATTTTCTCTTGATACCAAGAATGTTCCTCGCAACAGTTTGCCGCATGATGTATCAGCGTGAAGGCTCTTTGTAGACACGCAAGATCTGGTCCTTGTTAAGAAAAATCTGCCTCGGGCAAGGCTCGTTCCTGTGGAATTTATTTAAAAATATTTGGAAATTAATGTCATAAGTTTTTATTTTGTATTGCGCTAGAAAGCACCGACTGAAAGTTAAGCTAACTTTAGAAATATGAATAGAAATATGTCATCTTTATAAAAATGTAGCACTGAAAAGTGCCGATTATTCATTGCCACACGTTAGGTTTCCAAGTATGAACCATAAAAATAGGCGCTGAAAAGT